GATGCAATAATGTGTTTTCTTTGGTTCTTCTGAACGCACTGCTTTTATTTTTCCACAATATAAATGATCTATTTATTTCTGTAAGCACTGACCAGATGACTTTCTTCAATTTTGTTATACACTTGTGGTATCAATAAAAATTTATATTTTATTTTTTGCTGTTTTCTACTGAATGACTGATCCTCCCCATACGACAGTTAACAATTAATGGAGGAAAGTGTTATGAAAACAACTTATTTATAACGGTTCAGCATAGAAAATTCAATTGAAATTGCAACAAAATAAACTGAAATTTCAATTAAATCAATTTAAATATTAGTTTAATTGTTTAAATATGTAATAATTGTAACAGGTGTAACTGAAGATTGCATTTTTTCCTATATACCTCTTTGAATATTGGTAATTTATTCAACTAATTTTTACCATCCAACGCCAAATAGCCATGCTAACGTAGCACTATTAGCATGTTCATATTATTGTTCTGGTAGAGGTAAAGTGTGATGGAGATGTTTGCTCCAAATATTTATTTAATTCTACCAAGTTTAATTATCTCCATCAAGTTAAAAATGTAAGGTATTGCAGATGCATGTATTTATTATATATATACATTTATTTGAAGTGAAACTGGGTCTAAATGGGTGTGTAGCTTTAAGAAAACTGTTATATTACTTAGGCCGTTTCTATGGTCTAAAGGTGGGGGCAGTCTTATGGTCTAAGTCTGTTTAGGACTGAGTAAGCTGCGATCCTTTTCTATTCATAACATTTTTTTTTAATCCTTGTCTGCACAGATTTCTTTAAACAAGACAGGATTGGGATTTATTAGTCTTAATTTTGCTTTAGTTAGCATGAACAGCCTGAACAGACTCTACTGTGAATCTGAGATCCTCTAAGGAAAAATATATGCAGGATTGAAAAGAAAAACAAATAACAAACTCCTCATCCGGCTGAATACGTTAAATTAATGCGAACATTTGTTGTTTTTTTTTGCCAGAGATCTGCAGCGGCTGGGCGAGCTGCAGACTGAGCTTGCTGGAGCAGCTGATTTCTGTGCTACATATCTGCGCTGCCAGCTGCTGCTCATGAAGGTACGAATTTCAGGCCTTTTTCAGCTTCGGATTCCTGGCGTCAGAATAGAAAACATAAGAAACCTTTTTGTTCAGGCCCTGCAGGAGAAGCTGTGGAACATGGCCGTCCCCCTCTGCCTCAAACAAAACGTCACAGCCACAGCTGCAGCTCAGCAGGTAAATACGCTAACATACGTACAAATACAAAAGATGGCATCAGAGCACAGCTGGAGTCTGTTTTGATTTATTTTAACTGCAGATTTTAGAGGAAACATACAAGCTGGAGTTTCTGTACAGCGGTTTGGAGAGCAGGCAGGTGGCTACCATACATCATGTTCGCCTTCAGGCTAAAGCGCTGCAGCTCATTCTGACGGCTCGCACCAGACCAGGGTGGGTCCATAAACTTCCAGCCATCAGCCCCCATTAGTTCAGATTATTTACCCAGCTCTCTGTTCTCCTTAGGTTGGATCTTCTCATCAGCAGCTGTGAGAAGTTTTTGCAGGAGATTGAAAGTTTTCAGAGGTAATATTTGTTTCTGCCTATATATTTTATTATTATTTGTCCTTTTATCTTTTTTTAAAAGTTGTTGTTTTTCAGTCATCTCAAGATTAGAAAGTTTTCTGTCGGGAAGAAACAAAAAGCGAGTAAATCGGGGGTTGATGTGTTTTCTGCTTCCTCAGGATGTTCCTGACAGAGCTGCCCCACCTCCAGGATGGTTTTGTGGACAAACTGTTGGAGCTAATGCCCCGCCTCCTGTCCTGTAAACCTGTGGAACTGGTGAAGATCCTGCAGAGCAGCCTCAGACAGAGCGGCCTGCTGCAGCTCAGACTCCCTGAACAGGTCAAATAAAAGCAGATGATGTATCAGGGAGTTTCTACAGCAGAAAACAGCTAATATTGACTTTTGTAACAGATCCATCGAGCATCGGCCACAATCATAGAGCCAACAGGGGAGTCTGATAACCCGCTGAGGTTCACAACCGGTCTGGTGGTGGCGCTGGACATCGATGCCACGTTAGAACACGTCCAGGAACCGCAGGACAAAGTTAAAGTACAGGTGAGCCTCATTAATACCAAACCGGCTGCACATCTCCGGAAATCTAAACACTTATGCTGATTATTATGATTACCAACCCATAAGTACATTTCTGTAACCTACACTTATGGCTGATAATGTTCTGATCCAGGCTCATAAAACAGATCCAAACTGGATATAAATGGGGTGTAAAATAAAACCCAAAGCAAATAAACAGCTGATTTTAAATAAGCATTTAGATTTGACCTATTTTATGATTTATCAGTATGTTTCTCTGCAAAGAACAATAAAACAAATGAGCTCTGGCAACGGAAACCTTAGTTTATTAGAAACTGTTCAAGCACAATTTCTCCCCTGTGTTACTGTTCCTTTAATAGGTGTTAAAAGTCTCGGCTCAGGTGTAGAAATGGACTCTGGTGTTATCTTACCAACAGGAAAACTAATTCTAGTAGCTCGAGCTGGGATTCATTCCCAGTTACAGGCGAATGTACAGTGGGGCAAAAAAGTATTTAGTCAGCCACCAATAGTTCAAGTTCTCCCACTCAAAAAGATGAGAGAGGCTGGTAATTTTCATCATAGATATACCTCAACTATGAGAGACAAAATGAGAAAAAAAAATCCAGAAAATCACATTGTCTGATTTTTAAAGAATTTATTTGCAAAATATGGTGGAAAATATTGACCAAATATTGACCAAAAGTATTTGGTCAATAACAAAAGTTT